TTAATTATCAATCTATCATTGCTACTATTGATAAACATCTTTTGCTTAGTAAACTTTGGAAAAACAAAATCTAAAATAACCTTTACAGTCATTGAGTCCTCAATATCAATTAGCAAGAACCTGTGGAATTTGTGAGTTGTTGCCTTGATTACTGGAATCTATTCATCGAATGATGTAGCTAATTAACTTTTACTGAAAAACCATTCGTCAATGCAGTCATTTATTTCTGTCTTCGACATTAAAATTAATCTATCACTGCTGTGTGTATAGTAATCGTAATCATTATAGTCATGCTATTTTTATGTTTGCAAAAATGAACTTAGATATTTTCCATTGCAAATGTTCCAGGTTACTAACTCACCATTTTTTCTTAAAGCCATCATTTTATGATCCTTTACTTTATGAAATAGATAATCTGCTGGGTTTCCCATTCCCATGAATTTATTAATATTAGTGTGCATGTAAGGAGTAATAATAATATGGTGAGCGGACTACATGAAACAAATTCTAGAAATGTCTGAGTCAAAGTAGATATTTGAATATGCTCCAATATCTTCCTCTTTAAGTAAAAGCATTTTAATTTCATTAGATTCAGATAAAGCAATGGTATCTATCATTTTAAGTCCTTATGAAGGAGAAGTAGGTGATTCATAACAGACTGCATAGTTAATAAATTTATTGAACAGGATAAATCCTTAGCAATTTAGGTCATCTACTTAATTAACTTTACGATTTTTAAGATCCAATATAAGAGCATGCTATTTGTTGAATAAAACAATGTGGTTCTAGATATCGAGTGTAAAAGCAGAATGAAAGTCTGATATCGACTCTGACTATTGATTAGAGACATTGATATCAAATTCTTTTGTTATAAAAATCTTATCTCGTTTTAACAAAAGATGAACTGAGAATGTCTAGTTAGCTGAAACGACAATTTTATATCCTTCATTTTTTTCATACTTAGGCATTTAGAGTTGAACTATTTCTAGTTTATTTTAAGAATCACTTTTTGGAAAATCATACTTTTCCATCTACATCTCATGCAAAATTATTACCAAGCCTTTTCCATCATGAAGTAAAAAGTATGCATCACTGAAATCAGTTGTGTCACTTACTTCAATGGATTTATGATACTTAAACGGTAATTCGAAACTTTTTTCAGCTTCAGTAATGAGGTCTTAACTCTCAATAAATCTTGAAATATCCATGAAAATTGATTTATCCTCGA